TTTAGATTAAAATGTTCATAGAATTAATTTACAATAGTCTACATAATTTTTTTTAAAGTAAATTTAAGAAAAAAATTAGCCTAAATTCATTCTTTACTAATCCCGAGCTAAAATTTTAGGCCAGAATGGTTAGAACAGAAAACCTGTTTCTGGGCTAAAAACTAAATTGTCTGGGCTAAAAAATATGGCTTTTAGCCCCACGGTTGGAGATGGTCTAAACACAAACTTAGCCACCGAGTGAGCAGCATGATTACACTCTCTAGACACGAACTGTTACAACCCCACCCACTTTCTATTAAAAAAAATGGTTTTAGTTTTTAATTGGTGAGCCCAAGGGGCCCACCCCTGAATTTTTGTCCCCCGAGTCTCTTATCTCTTCCCTCTCAGTCCTCTCTTTCTTCCATTTCCTCGTACTCTCTCTCTCTAAACACTTTCTTTTATCTCTCCGGCTCCGAGAAGGAAACCAGCCACCACCAGTGCTCATTCCTTCACAAATTTAACCCAAAATCTTGATACTTCGAACCTTTAGGACATAGGGAACGCAACTGCAGCTTTGCATGCAACATCAGAGCAACTTTGAGTGTTCTGCCATTAAAGACCCTAGAGCTTTGAACTCTCACCTTCAATCTCAGCCTTGTTATCCGCTGCATGTGCATGCATACTTTCCACGAGGACGAACTCCGTCGCGTTTGTTGCTGTGGGTGCACGGATCCCTTCGAATTCGAACCCAGGTATTTAATTACCTTGTTGTTTGGTTAATCAGTGTCGGGTTTGTGTGTGCAGTACTGTGCATGTGTGGTGTGGGCTACGATGTGTGTGTGTGTGTGTTGTTGTGTATGGGTGTGTGCGTGTATGTGTCCGTGTGGTGAATGCATGTGAGTGAGTGTAGTGCACATGTGTGTGGTGCACGTGTGTGTGTGTGTTATGTCGTGCGTGTGTGTTGTGTTGTGTGATGTGTATGTATGTGTGTTTGTGTGCTGGCGTGTGTGTGTGTGTTGTGTGGGTTTGGGCTCAAGCCCAAACCACCCCACCTTTGTTCCTAAACCTATCCAAACTCAAAACCCAATAAGTCCTAACCCTATTTAACCTAAACCTAAACCCTAATTCGGATCCAAACCCAAGACCCATTTCCATTTCTTGAAATTCTATAGTTGGGTAGTTTGATAAATTGTATATTTTTGTGCTTAGGTGAAGTTGCTAGTGGGGATTTCCTTAATCCTTTTCCTCACAATTCTGCTGCTACGGAGTATCTGTGAGTGGACCCCTTCTAAAATTTGCATAATTTTATAGTTTATTTGCATAAATGAAATGCATGCCTTACGAGTTTATGAACTGATTTTATGTAAGCATGTTTATGGAATATGTTGTTTATCGTCTTGTTTTTTGTGAGGAATTAATTGTTGGCCTATATTGAGCTATATTTTTAATATAACGTATTTTCTATAAAAACTATAAACTAGTAGACTATCTTATGGATGATGATATGATGCTAGAACATGTTTTAAAAACCCCTCTTTATAGTATGGACGATGGATGACTTTATACTATGAAGTGGTTATTTATGAGAGGCGTAATTATTTGTGCGTACCTAGTGGACACTATGCCGCCTGGGGGAAGGATCTGATGTTGGCAGATAGTCCGAGAGAAATAATCCCTAGCTACGGGCTGAGGGACACGGAGCAGGCATTGGGCCGGGAGTTGGTAATCTCAGGTTACGGGCGCAGAGACCACAGTGCTGGCATAAGGCCGAGAGTTATATTTATTTCAATGATCTTACTAGCAGTACATCGCGCTACGAGATGATCTGTGAGACGTTTGATATTTTATTTTCCACGATGTCTTTTGAGATATTTTTGGCATGCTAGGGTTTTTAGTAAAACCATCACTTATTATGCTAGTGGTTTTCTTTATGTAAACTGTGGGGGTTAGTATCTTAATAACTGTTTTATTATTATTGTATATATGAACTTGGTCCACTCACCTTTGTTTTGCACCCCTATTCATGTCTTAGAAACGAGGACTGCGACATGATGTACGAGGCATTCCCCTACCAGTAGCAATCTAGCACTCACTTGTGTGATATCTTGTAATGATCTTTCCTTTTGTGATCTTGTTTTAGAACGTGTTCTGTGCACTCTAGACATTTCCTTAAACTTTGTTTATTACTTTTAGATTTTAATGATTATTCATGCTTATTTCCTCATAATCATTACTCTTGTATTCAATAAATGGCTTTCGTCACCCTCAGGTGTCGGCCAGCACATGCCTAGCTGGGTATTCGGGGAATATTGGGGTCGGGACATGTCACAAACTCAAAAGGCACAGACCTTAAGCCATGCGTTAGTGTCTCGATGCCACAAGTGTACATTCCATGCTATAATCTTGGGTTATTTCCTTCTTGATCATATGAATAATCAGTTTTGCATCGGATTAGATAGTCACACTGTCGACGCCCTGTTTCATACAAAACTCCAGAGCCTCACGAATTGCAGCCGTTTCCGCCACAGCAGCGCTGTGACAGGTTAGCTCTCCCGTGCCCGCCGCCGCTTGTATCAGCCTAGCAAAGTCACGGGCAACCCATCCCACACCCGCTCGCGTCGAGTCCTTGCACCATGCCACATTCGTGTTTATCTTGATTGATCCGTAGCCCAGTTTTTACCATTGCTTTATCTGTCTCTCCAGATCAGAGGTTGAGGTATTCATCTTGGAACATACATCATTGTCCCATTTCATCTTCATATCTCTATAATCATATATGTTCTTCTTCCACACTTCCAGAACTTCAAGGGGCTGTCAGTGCACCCCATTAAAGACCACCTCATTTATGTTTTTCTATAATCTCCATAAACGAAAGACAAACTCTTGCAGAATTTCATTTGCGTTCTCCTTTTCCATGGCTCATTTGCAGAATCTTTCCCAAGCCTCCAGGAAATCAGCCCTTACTAGATTGAATGAGTTGATCTGGAATGGGGAACAGAACCAGAATATATGGCTAAGGTCGCAACAAAAAAAACAGGTGGATTTCCGTTTCATCAAAACATCCACACACTCCACACACATTGTCAACCCTCATATGCCTTCTTTGCAGGTTTCGTCTCACTGCCAACGCATTGTTACAGCATTTCCAAAGAAAGAATTTCATTTTACTTGGGGCCTCAAAACTCCAAATTCCATTCCAAACCTGAATGTAGTTTTTTGATTGCCCACTTGAGAAACCTCGCCCTTTCTTCCCTAGTCCTCCGTTCTCCATAAGTCCCATTGCGATCCCATGGCCGGATTTAACCGTGTACACCCCATTCCCAGCGTGATACCATACCAATCTGTCCCGATAGCTAGTCCTGCTTAAGGGGATGCTTAAGATTGTTGACACGTCATCCCGATTAAAACTAGCCCTGATCATATTTGCCCTCCAATTCTTTGTTTCTGGATCAATCAGGTTGCTTACCAAATTCTCGTGTATGTCCTCGCGCCCAGGCTTTGAAAGTAGAGGGAACCATATATCCTTCTTTATACGTATGCTAGTTCCATCTCCAACCCACCATAAGATACCATTATCGAGCACCTTCCGGGCCTCAAAGATGCATTTCCATCCCCATGACGTCTATCTCCTACTATTTGCCCCTCTCACGCACCTCCTCAAAAGATGCTTTTTTTGAGCGACCAAAATCTGCTTGAAGCCCCAAATATTTTCCAAATCCTTCCTTGCTTTGAATGTTTAAAATTTGCTCAATTTTCTTCTTTTGCTTCTTCTTTGCATTTGACCTAAAGAAAATCGAGCTTTTACCCAAGTTAATTTCCTGACCGGATCTAGCCCTATAATCCTACAGAATGTCTGTTAGGCCCTGCGCATCCTCAACCGTCGCATCACAGAATACTACAGAGTCATCCGCAAAAAAAAGGTGCGATATAGGCACCCCATTATCCGACACTCTAAACCATGTAAAACTCCTCTCTCCAACCCATTTCGAATAAGGGCAGAGAACCCTTTGGTACACAAAAGGAAAAGGTAGGGGGAAATGGGGTCACCCCGCCTCAGCCCCCTCTGTGGCACAATATACCCCGTAGGGTTCCCATTCACCAGTATGCTAAAGGAGACAGTGGATATGCTTACCACCTTAAAATGATGGTGATGGTCGCAACCTCATTGATTATTGATAAATTTGATTTAATATCTATTATCAAAATTTTGAAATTTAACTAATTTAACGGTAATTAATATGGAGGAGCATCACCACTTTTAGATGGTGAGCAATAATGTATTCTATCTTTTGTGGCATTTCTCTATGAGAATTGTTATTGGCACTCCAAAAATCTCATTTGGCACTCATCATAAGTGTATTTTTCTTTCTAATAATAGAAAATTTGGAGTGTAAAATAAGAATTGTGGAGTGTCAATAACAATTTCCTTCTTTATTTTTGTTTCTTCTCTATTTGAATGGTATAAATAAACTAAATTAAAATTATATAAAGGGAGAGAAATAAGCTCTAAGTTAAAAAAAAAATTTAGGTCCATCTAATAATTTTACAAAACGATTTTTGAAAAACTATTTTATGAAAGAAAGACGACTAGAATGTTACATTTTTATCATTTGAGAACACGTTTGATAGTTTAGTCCAAAAATGATATTCGATAATGAAAACATTGAAATAGCTCAATTTTTTTATATTTGAAATCCTACTTATATAAATTTAAAAAATGAAGTTTTAATGAAACATTCTCTGTACTGTTCACTTTTAACAAAAAAGACATTTTTACTCTAAAAAGTCACTCCTGGTTCTATTCACTTACAACATATTTTTGTCTTTTTTATTAAAACTCAAAGTTTTAAAGCCATTTTCATTAGTTTTTATTTTAAAAAATCCTATAACTTGAAATTCAGAAGTTTCCAGTTCCATAAACTGGCCCTAATCTGGGCCCGAACCAAACATATACAAATGCAACTAAAGCCCAAAAGTATGCAGCTCGAAACCCAAACGGACACAGCCCCAACCAAAATCACAGAAGAATCACAAAGTCGCAGCGCAGAGCAAGAGGAGAGAGAGGAATAATTCAGGTGGCTACAATGACAGACAGCAAGGAAATCATCCCACCGCCGTACGACCTGAACGCCAAATGGGACGCATGTCTCGATCTGACGGTCCGGCGCTTCGTCTACTCCTCCTTGGGCGGTGCCTTTGGCGGCCTCCTTCTGTTCAGTCAGTTCTCTTTCTCTTTTCCCCTTTTCCTTTTCCCTTTAATTTTCTCGTTTCTCCGTTTTGCTTCTCTGCAATAATTAAATACATATTCCAAGCTTATATATGTGTGTGTATATATGTATGTATATGCAAATAATTGGAAGATTAGTTGGTTGGATGATGGATTGCAAAATGATTGCCACTGCAATTTGGAATGCCCAAATTTGTTTGGAACACGAACACTCCATATTTGCCTAATTGAATTGACCTACATGGGACCTTAAATGGCCTTCATAAAGCATACATACTGGGATATATATATATATATATATATATATATATATGTGTGTGTGTGTGTGTGTGTGTGTGTGTGTATATGTACAACCTGGTTATGCCCAATGAACGTGAGAGATTCTAGAACTTTTCTCGATCCAATTACTGCATTCTTTGTGTTCCATATTTTGTAACATCAGAAAAATGGAGGGGTAGGATTTCCGGCTATTTGCCGCATTACTTTGCCGGATTGAGCTATTATGAGTTAGTCTAAGTTGTATCAAACAGGGTGCTATTTAGCATTCTCACTAAGTGGGACTAGTGCCTCACCTAGTCTCCTTTTTTTGACCTTGTTAAAATGAGGGCTTGAACTAGAACCAACCCAAGCGAAGCCGAACCAATCCAAACCAATCCAAACCAATCTGGATAATTAGGTCCAAGCCAAGCCAATCCTATGTATCAAGCACACCTTATAGGTTTTTTAAATCAAATAGAGCTTACTGTTTAATTCAATAACATGAAATGTGAGGTAAGTTATGATTCATTGGCCGCCAATGTAAAAGTAATGTTGTTACCATTTTTATTCATTGGTCAAAGAGAAGAAGATTCGGGTTAGGTCTTCATGTATTAGTGGCTTTAATTTGGTTTATTACCATTGCTCAGGGTATTGGGCTATTATCAAAAGCAAAACTTTGGTCAAAGCTATCTTTCTTTCTTTAACTACTCTCCCATCGTTCATGAGATTTGAACTTATGACCTCCATCAAAGAGGAGAAGAAATGCAACCCAAGCTGGATAGTCATAGGCTATCCCGAAACTATCTTGAGCATGACGTCTACCGTCCCCAATTGGCCTTTTTCTAGGAATTGGTTAAGGATATTGTTAGTTAGGTCATGTTGCATTTATCGTTGCAAAGTAATTTCCATTTGAACATTTTCCAAAAACCAAGCATACTGTACAGTACTGTTTAGTGGCTTCTAATGGAAATTGGCTTGGAGCCTGTCTAATATCTTGAAAAATTCATACCAGTAATTTGGTAGATACAGCTAATTGCCCTGCCATATTCCTGCGACAGGACCTGACCATGATAAAATGACAACTAGACACTCCGATGTCATTGGTAATCTTATAAAAACAGACTAATTGAACACACAAACATGTACCTTTATCGAATATTCTTGTCCTATGTATCATCATGAGCTTTCAAGGGTATGACTTTCAAAGGCATAAAAACATAAGTAACGTTATCTTTTACATTTTTATTGTCCCTTTTGAGGTTCTTTTGATGTTTTATCTAATTATCATTAGGATGAGACCAATGTCTTTAATTTGCTTGAACTGTAAATATATGTTTTAAATCTTCCAAAATTAGTGATCTTGAATTAATAAATGTATTTTTGTTGTGTCCTACTCTTACTAGGGAGTCCTGTGACTCGTTGGGCTTCTGTAGCTTTTGGCGCTGGAGTGGGCATTGGATGTGCATACACAGAGTGCTCCCGTTTGTTTGAGGGATCTCCTGCAAAGTTGGCTGCTCCTAAGATTATTGAGGTCCCTGCTCCTCAGGTAGAGCTGATCTCTTCTGATTAAATACAAAAGATTAAGGGAGAATTAAATAACAACCCCCCTGTGGTTTAAACATATTCCATTGGGACCCCACAACATTGTTTTCTTCCACCAACATTCCCTATTTGCAACGGAAGATAACTCAAATTAACAATCCATAGGCAAGGCTGTCCTTTTGTACCATAAAACTCGAAATCTTAAACGTCTGCACTCACTAATCTTCAAGAAAAGAAAAGAAATAAATTAAACACGTGACTGAAGGAGGGTGCTTCCGTCGACTCGTGAGCCTCTACTCGTCTGACTTCACTCTTGGAGATGTTTATCTCATTTATTTCTCAACATGTGGCCTTGAGTTTCTTCGCCAAACCTGGAAGATGAGGATGGGGCTCTGTTAGGATGCATACTTTGGGACTCCATGGCCTGTAGTTTGAACATAAGAGACCATGTGCTCATAAGCTTAAATTGCTTAGGAGAACCCATTTGCACCTCACTCCATTGGTTACTTTTTGAGAAAAAGTGAACATCTTGCAGTGAATTTGAAATCCTTTCCTTTATGAATTAAACAAAAGTACCCGTCTGAATGAAGCATCGAAAACTCTCCTTTTAAGCCTCAAATTTAAATATGGAAACTTCACCATTTTGGAATAATAATAAGTAAAATGGAACCAATTCCTATAATTTGTTTTCAAATTTTTATTTGAAAAATAGCATAACTAAAGCTCTCATGAGTACCTGTTAATTCGGAGGTTTTTCCTTTCTACTATTCAGATAAATGATATCAGTTCATCTCTTGGTTCACACTCAATTTGCAGGAGTAAATCCATTTTGACATTTGATATATGATATGGTTGTGAAGTATGTTGAAAATTTTATGGTATATATTGTTTATAAATATAGCTTTCTTATTCATTGATCACAACCTAGAAGCACTTTTAAATTTCTTTGCCAAATTCAGAAGTGCTTTTGTGTTGTTGGAAAGTACTTTTAGCCCTTCCCGAAGTAATCCCAGACAGGCCCAGATTTTGTTAACATCTGCTTCTTATGCTTTGGATTTATGAGATGCCTGCATGGACTGAAATGTAACTTTTGAAGTATTCAAATATCTTGATGAAAATGAGTTCATCACGGTGAAAAATTCAGCTACTACATTCATATATTTTGTCTAATTCCAATCGATTGAGGCCACTTCATTGAGTCTAGCGTTTGATTTTTTCAGCATGTTGATTTATTTGAAACCAATGTAAATTTTCAGGCCTTCTATGTGTGAGGATGGATATAGGTTCATTGTTTTGCACTCATATACCTTAGGATGAATTGTGCATGGAAGTTATTTGATGTCTTTTTTTCCTGTTGTTTCCAGGACGGACACGATTGAATTTATGCGAAGTCAAGTTAACCGACAGTTTTGGGATTCAAATTGGAGGGTTTTTGACTGTCGGTCGTGTTTTTGCCTGCAGGGGATTTGAGTATGTGGTACAAATACTGTTTTTGATTGATAAAGATATCACCTGATCTTACTCAGACTTAATACAAATTTGTTACCTCTTGTTTTGTAATGCTGTCACTCTGTCAAACTTAGTTTGTGGAAGGAAAAAATAATTGCAATTGCGGCCGACGTTTGGTGTCTTTGACGACTAAGCAAAAGGAAACCGGTCAGAAGTATGTTTGATGCGCACCGTCGTTTACTGATAATGTTTCTAGGGTATGCTAACAATAGTAGTTGTGCTTGGCAATGCTGAACAGTCATGTAGTGTTCTGCTTTGATCTTATTGGTTAAAACTTTGAGAGACAGTACAAGTGATTAGAAATTCAGCAGAGGTTTATCATGGTATCAGTTTATCTATCACTATGTACGTGCCGAGATGTTTGCTCAACTTGCGTAATCGTTCTTGCTAGGGCGAGGACGCTTTCTATGGAAATGATTCAGGCATGGAACGATTCGGGTTCTTGTTAACTTGTTGACTGCAGTTGAGTTTGGGCTAAAATCTTCAAATTAAAGAAAGGTAAAGTCTATGAACAAAAGTTTAGTTTCCTGTTCTTATTACTTTGCAAGCAAGATATCATGCAGCCAATTTCTCATCGTCGTGAAAGCTTTCTCTGCATCTTCATCTTCTTCAAAAGATTGAGGTCGGTGCGCAAAGCAATGGCCTCTTCCCTTGAAACTCACCACCCTCGATCCCCTGCCGATACTTTTCTCGACACTCTACCACGCTCACACGACAGAGCGAGTCGTTGTCCCCTGTTTCGTCGCCATTTACGCTGTCTTCCACGTTTAGTAGGCTACAAGCAACTCTTGTGGCTGTACTCGCTGCAGCTGACCTCCGACGACCTGCATTGCCTCTGAACCTAAACTGAGTTAGAAAAACGCACACAGCGACACAGCAAATATTAAGCTTGTTACAGCCAACACCAAATATTGTGTTTGATCTTTGTTTCTTCAAACCAACGTACGACGCAAAATTAATTTCCCCACTTTCGGGAGGGACCTACCCTAAGTTGTTAAGATTTCATTTTCGGCTCATCGACCACAACTAATAACATTGATGTTGCCACGATTTCAGAGTCGGGTCATAGCAATTAGCAAATATTGATTATTATCACAAACGTCCTCGGCGATATTAAAAGTAAAGCTTTTCAATATGTCATATTTAATTTTGTCAATTGTTCGATGTGAGATTTTTGTATTCTTCAACACGTTTCTTTACGGAAGACCCACCATAACTCTTCACGCGTAATGAGCCAAACAATTTCATTTAACTTTTCCATAGTTCATTTTTGTCCATGGTTGCACATCAAGGTTATTTTGAGTTGAATAATTATGTTACTTGATACCGTAGTCCATTAATTTTGATAGTTTGTTACCGAACTGCCATATTCTTCACGCTGACACTGTAGTTCAATAATTATGAATTTTTATCCAAAAATCATCCCGAATTCACGATGAAACATTAGTCGAATTGGAAAACATTGAGAAGGAGAAATGTAATTGTGATCAAACAAAAGAAAACTAAGATATAGTGTTTCAATATACATTATACACGCAAAACTGCCACAATTCAGAGGATGATGAGTTAACAGGTATGAGAATAATACTTCGCAATGAAAGGGTGATCGTCGAATGGATTCTTCCCACAACTTACTGCATCTCCACTGATTGTATAGCGAGCTTGGCTGCAACCATGGAGATATTATCTTTAACAAATTCCAGGGAATTATCTAGCCTCTGGACGGTGTCTTTGAGCTCCATTGCGCTTAACTTCTCTTGCTGTAGCTTCGCAAGTTCCGATTCACCTGATCCTGATACACATTACATATAAACAACAAGATGCATGAGGGGGAGATCTCAGGCATTGTCCGAGAGAGAGAGAGAGAGAGAGAGAGAGAGAGAGAGAGAGGCACACCTTTAGCTTGATTTCCAAGCTATTTAAACTATATAGAGCTTCCTTTACTTGCATAACTTTTGGGTCTAATCCGCTCTCGCTTTCAGGAACCCTGTCGTGCACCGGTATGACAACACCTTTCAAGTAAGGATCTGCCTGCGTGTACAAAAGCGCAAACCAACATCTAGAAAGCATAAGAGTCAAGCTATTTCGTAAGAGATAAAAACCTTTGGACCTTGTTTCTCTCAGAAATTGTAATATACTTCATTATCATTTGTTTACAAGAGGGAAGTCCTCTCTTATAGAGGGCCAAAAACTACACAACTAGTCCTAACAAGTGGACAAGCCAAATGATGATTACATGAGGAATACATCGAAGAGGAAAATAAGGAGAAAAGGAAAGCAAATCAAAGTAATGATGACTAGCTATAAAGTAAAGTAATGATGGCTAGCTAGAGGAATAATTACAAGTATATTGTCTATACCAATAATGTCTAGCAACTATTGTTGACACTCTCCCTCAAGTTGGTGCATAGATGTCATGAATGCCCAATTTGCTTAGTGAGTTGTGAAATACTGAACTTGTGACTACTTTGGTGAGCATGTTTGCTAATTGATTTTCAGATTTAACAAATGGAACTTCAATAAGTCTTGCCTCAATTTTTTCTTTAATAAAATGTCTATCCACCTCCACATGTTTGGTTCGATCATGTTGAACCGGATTGTGAGCAATGTCAATTGCAGCCTTGTTGTCACAATGTGGACGCATAGCATGCTTGGGCCTAAATCCCAAATCTCTCAATAAATTCTTCACCCAAAGCAGTTCACATACTTCATGTGCCATGCTCCGATATTCTGCTCCAGCACTTGATCTAGCAACAACCTTTTGTTTCTTACTACGCCAAGAGACTAGATTTCCTCCAACAATAACAATGTATCCTGATGTTGATCGTCTGTTAGTTACATCACCAGCCCAATCAGCATCGGTGTAGCCTTTAACGTCTAGATGATCATGTTTTGAAAACATTAATCCTTTCCTAGGAGCTGACTTTAAATACCTCAAGATACGGTTTACAGCATCCATGTGTGTTTCACTTGGTGCATGCATAAACTGGCTTACCATGCTGACTGCATATGCTATATCTGGTCTAGTATGTGCAAGATATATTAGCTTACCAACAATTCGTTGATATCTCTCTTTGTTGGTAGGTATCTGATCAGGATATTCACCAAGTTTGTGATTCAGCTCAATTAGGGTATCTGCTGGTTTGCATGCTAGCATCCCAGTTTCCGTCAAAATATCAAGAATATATTTCCGTTGTGATAGAAATATTCCTTGTTGTGAGCGGACCACCTCAATGCCCAAGAAATACTTTAAAGCACCGAGATCTTTCATCTCAAATTCACTTGCTAGATACTTTTGCAGTGCTGCCTTCTCTTCTGGATCATTTCCTGTAACCACCATGTCATCCACATATACAATAAGAGCAGTGATTTTACCTTTCTTATGCTTTAAGAAAAGAGTATGATCTGAGTTGCTTTGCTTGTATCCGAAAAATTTCATCGATTTGGTAAATCTCCCAAACCAAGCTCTCGGTGATTGCTTTAAACCATACAACGACTTTTTTAGTTTACAAATGTTATTGGTCTGATTGGGATCCAGCTTGCATCCTGGGGGAAGCTCCATATAAACTTCTTCTTCTAAATCTCCATGTAGGAAAGCATTTTTGACATCGAATTGTTGCAAAGGCCAGTCAAGGTTTGCTGCTAGGGATAAGAGTACACGAATAGTGCTTATCTTAGCTACAAGGGCAAATGTCTCTTCGTAGTCAATGCCATATGTCTGCGTGTAGCCTTTTGCCACTAATCTTGCTTTGTATCGCTCAATAGTGCCATCTGCATTGAATTTTACTGTGTATATCCACCTGCAACCAACTGATTTCTTCCTTTTGGGTAGGTTAGTTAACTCCCAAGTGGAATTTTTCTGGAGTGCCTCCATTTCTTCATTCATTGCACGAGTCCACCTAGGATCTTTCATAGCACTCTCTACACTACAAGGAATAGATACAGTGGATAATTGATTTACAAATGCCTTACATGATGTAGATAGCCTATGGAGGGACACATGGTTAGCAATCGGGTATTTAACCTTGGCTCTAAGATCAGGATCATATAACTGTTTAGGAATCCCTCGAGATTTTCGAGGAGGAAGTTGATAATCAGTGGACTCAATTTGACTTGACTCAGGTACGATCTCAAAAGAATTAGATTGATTAGTTACCTGTTCATATGAAGAATGATACCACTTCATATGAAGAAACAAATTACACTAAGAATATGGCACAAATACATGAATGCACAGAGGAAAATTATACCCTCTTCATATGAAGAATTTAAACCAAAACTTCCCCACAATCTCCCCAGTTCAAACCACAGAGTTTTTTACATCCTTAGAAAAGTAGATGGAATTGCGGAGGTTGATTTTGTAGTTGTATAATTATTAGCAACTGTTATATGTATCTTATAAGAGAAAAATCATATCAATACGTTTTTTTAACAAAATTGAAGAGAAAAAAAAATTGCAGGGTCTCCAAGTAAATTCCAGATAAAAACATAACTCCAAGTAGATTCTAAGTTTGAGATTTCCATACCTCGAACCGAAGGTGGCGAGGCGTCTGCTACTCCAAAACTTGATCCTTGATAAATTGAACTTCCTTCTTTGATCTAACAATCGAAAAAATAGTATTCACACAAAAACCCAATACACAAAGAATAAGATAGGCATACACAGAGAATAAGAAATCGACAACGCCAGCAAGAATGCCTCATTGCATTGGTAGAAGAACCAGTCCAGACAAGAATCGAAAACATATGACCTGTAGTACACTGACTAATGACTACAATCACCCATTTTACCTTAGCTGCCTCAGTGTCATCCTAAATGCATCACTATTACAAAGTCGATTTCAATAAAGACTAACAACTGGAGACATCTTCGAGTGGGTAACGCTTTTCGAGCGACTACTAATTTTCACATGCAGATGCAACAAATCTCCGAAACCACCAATAAAAACACAGAATTGATCAATTATACAAACAACACAGGCAATTCGACACAAATAGATAATACAAGAGAGAGAAAGTAGAGAGAGAGTTACAGAAAATTAAATCCGAAATTGGAGTCACAAATACGCAATGTGAAAAGGGTCTCTTCAAATTGGATTGAGGAATTGCATTCTCAAAGACCCAGAAACTCGAAAAAAAGGATTACCTGTTCGTCTTTATTCTTGGTCGTTTGTCGTTGGTGAGGCGCAAGGCCTGCTCGTGGTTTGAGGGGCGCAAGGCTTGCTCGTGGTGTGAACTTTATCTACTTCTCCTTACTTTATTTGTGGAATCAGCGATCAATGGTGTATAACCAAAGTTCCTTTTGGC